TTGCATCACTCTTACCTTACGCATACGTGAGTATAGCCAAGTGTAACGAGTCATTTCTGATGGCTGCAACTCCGGTGGAATCGAATTCAGCACATACTCTACCCGATCAACAAAGCTACTCAGTCCTTCGGGTGTATATTGAGTGACTTCAAGTTCAAGCAAACTTTGCTGAGTGAGATTGGCACCACGACTTTGATCAAGGAAAAAGCGTCTTGCAATCATGTTCAACAACACTCTTCCCAAAGGAGCCCTCCCTCTCATCTGCTCAGATTCTGTGTAAGCTTGAAATTGTAAGCCCAACTCCCCTTTGAGGTGTTTGGCCTCCATCAAAACACTTGCAAGATGAGCATCCAATCTTGGCATTTCAGCTGACGTCAGAATCAACATTTCTCTCGTTACGTCTGGAGAAAACGCCTGCAGCAACCACTGAAGGATCTGGCTCTGTCCTGTTTTGTCAATGGATGATGCCTTTGTCAGGAAAGCGTTCTTCCATCCACGATATTGAGCTGCATCAACTGGAATGGTTTCTATTTTGATCAAACTCAAATCCTTTGCTTTATAAATCACTGACTCATCAAAGATTACCGCTGACCCTACACCAATTGAAGGATTAATTCGATCTCCTCTCACTCTCCCAAGTCCGGACGATGCTGGGCTGTCATTCGGAGGTGATCCCCTTCCACGATCCGGTGATCCCCCTCCACCTCCATGCCGATCACTGGTCGATGAAGATGACGAGGATGAGTCATCAGGTGGCGGGTCGAGCCCCTTTTGGGTTGAACTTCCTGGCAATTCAATTGTTGAAGCATTCCCCAAGTAACTATATGTTGAAAGCGAAAACATCTGTGGTGCAGCATTTGGCTTTTGGGGCTCTTTCGAATGACGCGAATGCATCGAATGTGCTGGGCTAGGTTCCTGAGACGGTGGATATCCTGCACAAGCCGATTGAGCATATTCTGGTGGCACTGCAACCCTGCTATCAACATAGCTCTCATGTTTCTTCTTACGTGTATGTCTACCCCTCAACACTTTGATTTCATCCTTGAGTGAATTCATCATTTGCATCAACCCTGAAACATCAACCGTGCCATTTTGGTCTTGAATCGGTACATCATACTGGGCCGACGAATGCCTAAGCATTGTGATTTCACTCTGAAGGGATCCCACTTGGTTCATGAGATTTCGCTGTTCGTCCCTTTGTGACTCCAGCGCTTGGGATTGTGATTCAATGATTGCAAGAAGTTCACGATTGCGATCCTCCATTTGCGACAATCGATGTTGCGAATCCTCATATGCTCTTTGAGCAATGTCTTGAATTTGAGCAATTTCCCTTTGATAATTTGTTTCCATGTCACTCACAATGGCTTGGGCTCTGGTCTCAACTGACTGAACCTGAACCTGTGCCTGAGCTTGGACTTCAGAAACGTGGGTTCTTGCCTCTTGGACAATGTTCTGAACAGCCTGATCAGCCAGCCTTTGGGTACTAGTCACTTCCGAGCGAGCTTCATGGATGGCCGCATGAGCATGTCTTTCAACTCCCTGGACATGTTGGATAACTGCTACCGGATCCATCCCTACTTGAACTTGCATCGATCTTTGATCATAAGCATGTTGGTGCACATGTTGATGAACTGACCTTTGGTCCTGTGCCTGCACATGCTGATGCCTGTTACGAACAACCGATCTTTGATCATGTTGTCTTACAAGTGTTACGGGTTGACCAGTTGGTGGCAATCCTCCCCCACTACCCTGTCTATCTTCCAAGGCTATCAATGAACCTGGGCCTCGATGACTGGACAATGGCGATTCTGCACGGCTTCCACTTTGACTCCTGGACGAGACAAGCTGCTGGGAACCCCCTTCATACGGACTATCCCTTGACCTGGAACGGTTCCTTCTAAGTGGCTCAGCATGACTCGGAGTTTGTGAACTAGCACTGGATTCCGATTGAATTGCTGATGCTACTTGTACCTGCAATGCCCTAGATGGAATTCCATCCGGCGAACTGCTAGATATTTGAAGAGATGATTCCGTTGAGTCATTGGCTGAAGGCTCCATTGAACCCAATACTGATGATACTGGCGGCATTGTCAAATGAGAACGCTGGCAAAAATTGCACTCCAAATAACTTGGGGTTCACCAAAATGACAAACACTTTAGAGTTTTTGGGGCTCCGTTTTGGGACCGCTATGGTTTAGTTTTTTTTTTGGCTCGAGGTAAATCCCTGGCCTTTCTTTTTCACCTTCGGCGGAAGGTCCAAGAAACTCACCCCTCAACGCGGCGTTGCACTGGATCGCAACTCTCCACGAGATCAGACTGTGCGTCGGGTAAGGATGAACTCTGCCAGTCGTCTACTGAGGTGATCCGTGTCCAACTGAGCCAGTGCGTCACCGAGATTCTTGAAATATCGAGGTCCTTGGCACTGTGGTTTGCGAGGCACCTTGATCCCTACAGCAGTGATTCCAACCGGATTTCCAACCGGCCAGCCACGATACTCCCGATACCGTTCCAGCTCGTCTAACACCTCGTCTGAATCGTCGAAATGCACCAAGTGGCAAGAGCCGAAATGCGTGATTGTCTGAAGTGCTGACAGTTTCCCACCTTCACGACCACGATTCTCGGTGGTAATGATGTGGTTAAACAAATCTGGATACTTCCACGACAGGCTCTGGACTTGATCTCGGTACACTGGACTACAGGTGTAAGAGCAAACCAGAACTGCCACACCACGATCTTTCAAACCTCGAATGAGCTGCTCGTACTCAGGTAACAATGTGTATGGAGGCGATGGACGGTCAGTTCCTCGAGAATGACGCTTGATGTCCAAAACTTGATGCCAGTCCAAACTCACAATTACCTGTCCACTGAACTTCACTCTTGGCTCCGATGGTGTGATCACAGTTCCAGCAAAAGCCTGATCCCAAGCCTCCCACACTGGTCGTGGAGTGGTTCTTCCACGGCCTGTTGACCCTGATGACGCCGATGACCCTGATGCCGCTGCTGTTGACGGTCGAAGTACCACAGGATTGGCTTTAGGCACAACTGGTCGATGTACCACAGGATTAGCTTTAGGCACAACTGGTTGATGTGCCACAGGGTTGGCTTTAGGCACAGCTGGTCTAAGTACCACAGGATTGGCTTTAGGTACAGCTGGTCTAATGGCAGGTCTGGCCTTTGATACAGCTCCAAGACTAGCCGATGACGAGCAGTCGAAGCTGGGTCTGCCCAAATACCCGATGGAACGTCTTCCTCTTCCGATTCGGACGAAATCCAAACAGTCTCTGCAAATTCTGAATCAGTCTGAACCTCTTCAAAAAACGGCTGATATGGATGTCGAGGCAGTCTGGGCAGCAAAGGCCTATCCCTCAATGGCAGGATATCACGCTTGCACCGTTGATGCTGCTCCTCAGCCTGTCGAAGGCGCCTGAGAACAATCTGATTCCTCCTGTCACGAGGATCAAACTGGTCGTGGTACACCACGAACTCGAGAAGGCCAATGAAGTACTCAAGCACCTGCAGGCAAATACTCTTGTACCTGCGCTTGAACACCTTTCCGCCTCTCTTTTCTCTGCGAACTTTCTCGAAACGGCTGACAAGTTGCGCACCCTTTCTAGGAGTGCGATCCCTTTGCATCAACGGGCACCGAGAACTAGTCAATGGCGATATGGAACAGGTGCGGTCAAATGAGTTGAACTCTTTGAGCCTGATATGCACAAATGAAGCACTTGTTCCACCTTTCTTGGACGTTATAGATTTTCTCCTCTTTATGCTTGGGACTACACTCAAAGATTCCTAAGGAAAGTCCGAGGAGCACTGGTTGTCTAACCTACCAAGCAAACTAGTATGGGATTGGTCTAATTTGGTCCGGTGTTGCAGTGGATCGCAAACACCCCGGAATATATCACTCACTTGAACGTGCGAACACACAATTACAAGGAGCTACCTCTATTGAAGTTAGGGTTATGGAATTCGGATCCTATCCAATGGCAGTGTTGCACTGGATCGCAACTCCCTGCCCAGCACCAAGCAATCCTTCGCAGAGAAGCTTAGGCTTTTCTTCACTTGGCGAGACCTGGACCGGTCTGATTAACACGTCTGTGGGACGAACAATCCTAGACCCTTTGCAACTCGATTGTGGGTCTATTAGAAAAGTTAGTGCCACAGGCGGCGGGGGTGTGGCAACCAAAGGGGCTCAAGCTTTGGGGACCACAAGTTTATGGAATTAGCTTATGTGAAGCTGAGGCTGTTAACCAGTTAGTTCAACCACGATACAGCCTTACGTGGGAACTAGTCAAGATGCACCCAAGCACAAGGCAGCGCCCTTTTAACAGTGCTTGAGCCAAAATAAGTCGGTAACAACCAAAATGGTTTGTACAAACTGGCAAGTCAAGGAATGTATGGTCGTAAACTGTATAACACCCTTAGGATTCGTGTGATTTCACAACTATAGAGAGATAGAGAGAGATAGAGAGATAGAGAGATAGAGAGATAGAGAGATAGAGAGAGTTGATGAAAAAAATAGATGAAGCAATTTGAAGAGCAAGTATTTTCATCATTTGGAGGATCCGAGTTTCATCTGAGGTTGAGATGTGGAGGGTAAATCAGGTAGGGAATGGTTTTTTTAGTATGACGTAATCCCATCCCCAGTATCACCAGATCACATCAAATAGCCCATCGCCATGTGGTCAAAATGAAGAGATGATGGGATTCAGCTGGTCAAAAACCAGAGATTTGGGGGATGCTGGGGGAAATCTTAGGACCCTGCGGCTGTCAGATCCGAAGTCCTGTCGGAGATTGTGTTTCCAATGGCCATCAAGCTTCACATGGCCATCACCTAGATAGCTTAGATAACTTTCACTGAGATAAGAAACTGCATTTATATCATTTATAATAAATCCAGTGGTCTATCATCATTTCAATCATTTCCCCATAGCAAAAACACATAAAAACACTATAGATTTGGCCATTTTCCCCATACACCTCGTGTTTTTTTCCCCAGCCTTCACGCCAGTTTCTCCACCACAAATCACTGCAATGGGTTCCGCATCCGCTGCCTTGCGGATAGCTTTTGCTGTCAGAGCCAGCGTTGCCTCCTCATCGACCTGGTGATCCCAAGATCCCACGTGAGGAAGAATGGTCCCGCTTTGAAGGCTGAATTTCTGACATGGCTGTGATACCGTGATACCATTTCAATCATTTCAAGCCTTTGTCTTGGGGTCCTTCGTCAGACAAACCCATAAAGGAGACAACATGACTCAGTTCCCACTGACTTGCACTGAGAATGGCCCCAAGTTTGCTCGCGATTCACACCCAGACTCATGCAGAACTATGCATAGTAATTCATTCAGGCTGCTCTGGGGTATGGGTCAAAAATTGTGAAACCCTTCAAGGCCATTAAATTGAGCTTGGTCGGCCATCTCACTAGACATGATCCAAATGCTTTGGCTTGACAAAAACACCAAGGGCGAAGGATACAACGTGATACAACCCAACCCAAGCGGAGTTTCAACCGAAAGCTCTCAATGGCCAGAGTATTTACCCCATAAGTTCAACTCACAAAAAAAACAGAACTCGCTGACAATACATTTTTTTGGTGTGTCCTTTTCAACATCCAACTTGTTCAAAGGAGATCAAAGAAGCAGCACCTCAGCCAGGAACTTCTCGGGAAAGCCTTCCGCGGCCGCAGGGAGGTGGCCTCGGTGCTCGCCGCACTCCTGAGTCCAGAGGGCCAGCACCGCGTAGCCTGCGGAACCGGAATTGATGTAGTTCGGGGGATCAGAACTGCAAATTCTTGGGGTGAACTCCCAAGTTTTTGAGGTAAAAGCCATCATTGTTGGGGATGATATCCCATGGTTTTCTATTTTATTCGGGTCATAAAAATCCCCGGTTGTTACTAAATGTTTGAATTGTTACAGTAAATAGTCCAGTTCATTGAAGATTTTTTGGAAGAGGACATCGACTCCGTTTTCGTAAGGGGAAGGATACGGCGGGGTTGTCTGCAACTGGGGTGCCCGGACACCCACTGGTTGATCATCATTGTTCCAATCAAATTTGCCAGCTGGAGGGTATACCCCATTTTCAGACACACAAAATCATAATCTGGTTGGTTACATCGTATTCTATCCCTATTATTAATGTCATTACATCCCCAGTATATCCCCTTAAATTCCTATTGTTGATTGGTGAATCACCATCTTCAGATCATTGGTCATTGGTTTTATATCCCATTATCATACTAGCCATTATACACATTCCCAGTGTATCCCCATTACCGGTTGGGATGCTGAAACATATCTTTGTTGTACACATCTTTATTGGTTGTATATCTTACTATGTTCCCATGAAAATCCAATTATATCCCCAGTCCCAAGACATAGTCAAAACCATGCTGTATATAATTATATATTGTTTATGGTCATCCATCCCCAAGAAAATGCTGATGTATAAATTCCTATGGATTGACCCACTGCCTATATCATCTATATCATCGACCATGGCATGCCTCGTTGCTCCAGCTCACGTGCCAACATGGCCCCTGTGGAGCACGGGTCCACCAGAACCACCGTTGGGCGAAGGCTCACAGACTTTTCGGTGCTGTCGGATTGACCGCGGTACATGGCGTATGGTCTCGGGATATGGCAACACGAGTTTTGAGAACTGGTGCACTGCGGATTTCTGGAATATGTTTTACGTGTGGAAGTTTTTGGCGTCTCATGTGAAGTCCAGCAGTAGAGTTCTAACTACAATGATACTCTACACACCACACATCCAATTTCACCAGGAAGTGGCCCGTGGCCCAAATTAATCCCTTCCTCAGCCTTCCTCCCATGGTTTAGTATGCACCACCTGAGAGTTGCACTGACAGAATGCTGGAGCGCGCATCGGGGCCAGAGATGAAACGGCCCTTGCAATAGACCTGGCGGTGTCCGGGTGAGTCACGGTGAAGTTTCTCACTGTCACCAACAAAATGCTGATGTTTCAAAACCAAAACGGGAAATTCATCGGTTGAAGGTGAATTTTTGGTTTGTTGGTTTGTACATGTTTATACCTGATATAGCTATGGCAGCTATGGAGTGCGTTTCATGGGGATGATATGGAATACATCAATAATTGGCCAGTCGAAGGGGCGAAGGGGCTCAAGTTGAATTCTTTCGTGCAGGTCAAATTATGTCAAATTAAAAAATGTTGAGCAACTTGTTTTTAGCGAGGAGCCTCACCAGCCACCTATTGCTTTAGCCCAACACATCCCACAAAATGATGTCCTAAAAGCACAACCGTGTGATGATCGTGATGTTCATGGATTCCATTTCTCCTCCCTGTGTCCATCCGTTCATCACCGTCTATCACCGTCCATCACCGTCCATCACCGTCCATCCTTCCCAATGATCAAAACCTGGAAATTGACAAAAAACAGCACCGCGGTCAACGACCTGGTTGTAGCCATTCAACTTTTCAGGCATCTCACACAACGGCCTCGTTTGACCCGGTCAAAGCAACTCCCCCATGAAGTCACCCCGAAGAACCCCACAAGCAACAAACTCACACAAGATTTGCCACTTGGAAAACCTCAACGTTTCAAGTGCAACCGTACAACATGACACCAGGTTTTCCTCATGCGCCAAAACCGTAAAAGATCATGCAGGTGAGTATCAAGAAAACTTTGGGAATGTTCATCCAACTTTAGGGGTTTCAATAGCTACAATGGTCGTGTCAATCCAACCAAATGGCTGACCAGCCATTTGGGGGTCCTACCATTGTTGCGCAAAATGATCCACTTATTCTTGGATGAAATCTGGTGTTTCATGGTTCAAGGAAACAATTATTTTTGGGGTGGTGGTGGTTACCTCGTGTACTCCGTTGATCCGTTTTCTGACACTATTGCCTATGTCAACCAAATGAAAATGAAAAACAACTTAGACCCCTAACCATTGTTCCTGCAATCCTTGGAAGCAATAGACGACAATCCTACCCCATACTCTTGCCTTCCGTTGCAATTTTGTGGTAAATGTATGTGAATGTTACCATAAATTCTTACATGGTATCGTTGACATAGGGACTCTTCAACTCTGCCGAAGGGCTAGGACCATAGGGAAGCCAGCAAGAGACAGCCTCAGTTTTTAACTTGGGGTGGAATTTGGTGTCTGGAAGTTGCTTGAGTTGAGGAGTTCAGGAGTTGAGTGGTGACTTCAATCAAGATTGGAACCCATGCGTCTCTTCATTCAAAGACTGTTGTTGTTGTTGTTGCTCATACCCCTCCAATGCTGTCCTGTTGATGTTTCATGATTTTCAGCCTTAACAAACACATGTCTGTTTGTTCCTCCAACGTCCACTGTTTTTTTTAAATCTAAACAAATCGAAGACACAAACCGAATCGATTTCCCAATCGTCAGTCAATCCAGACCATGCCAGAATTGTTCCTGCGTTCACGATACAAAACTGGGCCTGTTTGGTTGAAGTCGTGAACCAACAAAACGATATTATAGACTTCGTGTGTTTCCAATTTTTTCCAAATATGTTCCCAAAATCTCAAAATTTTGCCATCCAAAATGTATCCAGATGCTTCACCAACCATCTTGGATTTCCAAACTTAGGTAGACTCGGTGGCGGCCGGCCGCGAACCCGAATCACCGTCGCCGCCCTGATCACGTGTTGGCCGACCCGAGCCGCTGGCGCTGCAGTTGAGAGAATGTCGTGTGAAATGGCCATTACCACATTTACCACATGGAAATGCATTAATATGTGTGTCTGAAAATGGACGATGCTCCCCAATTTTAGCGTTAACTTCTGGATTCACAGGTAGTCAAAATTGATTGAAACTGTAAAACATGATACTCTGCCCACCCATACTACTGAGCATAGTCACTATCCGACTACCTCTTGTGGAATGACGCGTGCACCCTAAGGGCCGTGCACCTTACAATCCGCACTCCCCCCAGCAAGCAGCAGGCTGCATCTGGCACGCCTTTTTCAGGATCCCCGGTGGTGGGCCGGCTACGCAAACCCTCTCCCCAGATCCCCCTTCCACCTGGCGTCAGCACAGGTTTCCGCTTCACCAGAGTTCGGGCGCGCCCGTGCGCGACACCACGCCAAGGACCCGCTTGTGTTGCTTGGGTTTGGGTTTCAGATCCAAATGAAGACGACTTCTGCACTTCCTGGCTACCTCATCTTCCTCCTCTGGGGCGCGGCCTCCTTTTGACATCGGCACAGCCATGGCCACTTTCTTTCCAGCTGGAGCCTTCTCCTCGGCCCGAGTGAAGAAGGGGAGCGGGTCCGCATCAGGTTGGAAATAGAAGACAACCCGGAAAGACCGCACAGACGGCTTTACTCCAAAACGCCGCCAGAAGGTGTCATGAGATTGCCGCCAACCATTGGGGACGCTCCGCTACCACGTCCTGACGAACCACCACCCGAAGATTCAGAGCCATACGAACCGAGCGAAATGCTCGAAGCAGATGAAGGGCCTGAAGAACTCGATTTACTTTTTGAAGAACTTAACCCAGAAGATCCGGAAGCTCCTGTGGAAGAGATTGACAGCCTCGTGCCGGAAATCTCAAAAATGAAAATAGAGCCTGCTGAAGTGTCAGCAGGGGGGGAGCCCGGTAACCTTTTCAAACGTGGAAAAATCAAACTTTCAAGGGTTTCTAAGATCAACACCTTGGAGTTGTGGAAGCCATCAAAGAAGAACTGTCAAATGTTCCAGTGGATCCCACGAACGGTTTCATACAGGGACAAGTTCTACGACTTCTGCAAGAACATCGTGAAGATTTGGAAGAAGAACTGGAAGCGGTAACAACTGCAAAAGTTGAGGAGGAAAGGCGAATGTGCCAACTAAGGGTTTGTTCAACACAAGCGGATGGTAGCGGTGGAGAAGAACAACTTCAAACTGTTACAGTCCCTCTTCACAAGGTGAGGATGGAAAAGGAAAAGTGGTACGACTCGATGCTCGCCGAATACAAATCCTTGACTGCAGAAACAAGCTATCCGACCAGTCAAAAGATCCGAGATTGACCCTGAAGCCGAATTGGTGCCGGGGAAATTGGTCTGTGTGATCAAGGCTGGAGGGAGATACAAATGTCGCGCTGTGATCTGCGGCAACTTGGCATCACCGGAAGCGGATCCCATGCCTTCATCCCTGCTGCATGCCAGTGGAGCGGACGGGGTTCTGATAAGGTGTGCATTGCGAAAGGCAGTTCATCACCAATGGGATGTAGCCACGACGGACATCAAGACCGCCTTTCTACTAGCTCCTCGGCGGGTGGAACAAGGTGCCAAAACCGTGGCGGTGGTTCCGCCCAGGATCATGACTGATTTTGGGATTACCCAACCGGATGAAGTCTGGCTTGTTGACAAGGCCCTGTATAGGTTTCAATCCAGTCCTGCCCACTGGGCGGTGTACCGCGACCAAACAATGCGGCGGTTCACATGGCAGGGATATGCAAGCCCGGGGGAGGTGCAGAAGGAGTAAGCTAGAACAAACACCGGAGGGAATTTGTGGAGAATCCTGTGTAAAGGTGGTGACGCTCCAGGAGAAGAAGTACGTCCTGACGGATATCGGCAAGTGGGTATGGTGGTCGTCTATGTGGACGATCTTATGGTTCTTGCTGAACCTCACGCCAAACACAGCTTCTTGAAGAGGCTGAAGGAAGAATGGACTTGCTCCACTCCTGAAGAAGTTGATCACGAAGGCTGGGTTCGATTTTGTGGGTTCGAGCTCCAATGGAGCGGCCAAGGGGATCACAAGAAGTTGAAGGTGGGACAGCAGTCCTACACTCGGGATCTGTTGAATCGACATCAAGTAGAACACCCAAGACCGGTTCCGATGACGAAAGCTGATGCCGAACTTCCGGAAGAAGAACAACCAGCAATCGAAAACATACGACAAGCTCAAACGGTGGTGGGCGAGTTGCTGTGGTTGTCCATAAGGACAAGGCCGGATATCAGCTTCGCCTTCAGCCAATTGGGAAGACAGGTGAACAAACGGCCCAAATGGGTGGTGAAAACTGCACAACAGGTGTTTGGTTACCTGAAGGGAACCGAAACTCAGCATCTCAGCTATGGGGTTTGCACAAGTGATGATCGTGGTCCCGAAGATGACCTGCCATTTCACCGGGAGATGCAGCAAGTCGAAATGTTCTCGGGCATTTCATTTGCCCCTGCAGGTGAAAGGTCACTGCAGGGTATCCTAGGTTTTTATGGCGGAGGGTTGGTTCAATGGGAAGCCAGCCCTCAAGCTTTTGTGGTGTTGAGCACCGCCGAAGGGGAACTGATGTCCTACTTGGAATCCATGGTCATGGGAGACTCTCTGGCGTCTCTCATAGAGGTCGTGGAAGGACGGAAAATCGGGCAGAAGATCATCTACGGAGACAACACGGCTGCAATAGCCATCTTGCAAAATCCTGACGGTCCGTGGAGGACTCGACACTTGCGGTTGCGAGCAACAGCCCTAAGGGAGCGGTTAAAGGATGGTAGTTGGATCATCCGTCACCTTCCAGGGGTAAAAGTTGTGGCCGATTTCCTGACGAAGATCATCGCTGTGAAGCCCAGCTGGGAAAGGTTCTGGAGGTTCGTCAATCACCAAGGTTCCGGGGTTGCAAATGAGGAACCATCAAGGGTCTAAACGTCGTGAAGAACAACCTCTGGGAGAAGAGCCACATTCGGGAGAACCAG